CTCTCTCTGTGTCACACTCTGTCTCACCCGCTTCTCTCTGTTTCTCAATTTTCTTCCTTTCCATTTACGGATTTCTATATCCACCAACGCCAACTCCGCGTTTGCTCCGTGCTTCACCGGTTTTCCTTCTTCTTCGCCATTCCCCTTTACCAAAGCAGCCCAGTTACTTTCGAGTTAGCCCGCGCTTGTCTATATCTCGATGTGTCGCGTCGTCTTGCTTTACCCCTTTTACTCATTACAACTTCTTCCACGACCGTGTCCTTTCCCTTCCACCATTTTTTTTTTTTTTCTTTCTTTCACCTTTTCTCTTGCATTAGCAAACGTAATTTAATCAACGTTCGCTGTTCATCATTATATTTGGAAGTTGTGTCTTCAATCGCCGTTTACAGCGTGTGAAAGGTGTTCAATTCGCATCCCCAACGTTAAGCTTAAACGATAATCTTCACTCGAAGCTTTTTTTCTTGGTTTCTGTCGAGAAAAACAACGCTACTCTCATCGAGCAACTTCTGTTCGCGCTGATTCTCTTCGTCAGCGACAAACGAAAGGTTCTAGGTCCTCGTCCCCCTTTCTCTTGTCCACACCGAGTACAATAAACTCGTTCGCCGAACTTCCGGCGTGAAGGGGCGATACGTCTTCCGGAGGAGTACGAAGTTCTTCAAAGGAAAATAGCTGACAAATTCGAAAGTAAATCGAAAGAAATGAAAGACTCTCCTGAACTCAGAGGGAATTTTTTTTTTTTTTTTTTTTTTTTTTGCGAAACGTTGCAGATCGACGCGTGCCCTACAGCATACCGGCAGACTGGAAGGCGTTGTGGTTCAGCAACCTGGACGATCTGCAGAGAGTGAACGATGCGAACGACAACAACACCGTCTCGAACGTCACGGTGCAGCTGGGCGGCACCGCGTTCCTGCACTGCAAGGTTCGAAATTTGGCAGACAGAACGGTATCGGACGCCGAGGTGAGTCAGACGAATCATCGTCGTTCTTCGCCGGTAGAACCGTGATGAATTGATCAACGATTTCGCGCGTTTCCTGATCCCACAGATATCCTGGATACGACGGCGTGACTTCCACGTCCTCACCAGCTCCACGTTCACGTACACGAACGACGAGCGGTTTCAAGTTTTGCATCCCGAGGGCTCGGACGACTGGACTCTTCAGATCAAGTACGTTCAGGACAGAGACAACGGGACCTACGAGTGTCAGGTAATCAACCACGGTTCAAATTACCAATCGGAGAATTGTTTTAACACTTTCGCTACGATGATCAAATCAATAATAATCGTGAAAGTGTCGTGATCACCGATTTCGATGAAATTTAACAAACATTTGACACTTTTCTTTTTTCATCAGCAATTGTCTTTGAAATCGTAAATTTCGACGAATAGTTTAAAAAGAAAGGCAGAAAGTAATTTAAAGTAATAAAAATAAATTCCGCCAATTTTTTGGCTGTACGCACGTGCGTGTACCTCGACCAAGGGGCTCCATAGCGAATTCACCGACGCTGCGGATTTCCCCTCGTCGCGGCAGCAGCGCCTGTATTCACGACCCTTGAAACGAATCGATTTTAATGAGACCTCGGGAAGAAGGAAATTCGCGAGAGCAGATAAATGAGATGTTTAGACGAACTTGTTATTTTCCTACTCGAGGGCCAGATTGGCCTTATACTTATCGCATAATATCTGATTACGTTACACTACGAGCGAAGAAGAATTCGCATGTTCCCTGGCCGTATTTCTTTAAGTTAATTCGCTAAATTAACATTAATGACTAATATCAATAGAGCAGTAATTGAATAAAATCGACGAGAATTTTCTAACCTCAATTTCGCCGAGAATTTCCTAACCTCAATTTCGACGAGAATTTTCTAACCTCGATTCTAATGAGAATTTTCTTACTCAATTTTCTCACCACATCCTAGAAGTTTACATCAGATTAAAATAGAAATAAAACGTGAAACTCGAGCGCAGATAACATTCCATCTAGCAGTTAAAACTTCCTTTGAAGCGTATTATGCGTTGCGCGAAAAAGCGGAGCGTTGTCGCTGTTTTATCGACAGCAGAAATATCAATCTGTAACATTAAATTTCACCGGGCGTTCACGGACTACTTTAAGTAGAATAATATTTTAAAGTCAGACGATATTCCATGTCAAACGGCCCCTCGTTTTAAGCGAATCGTTTCAAATTTTAAACGTTTTCCATTTCCCTTGTTTCTCCATTCCCCTTGGCAGAGGTTGCTCGATATAATCGGGTTAGAGAAACATAAAATAGAAAATCTAAATTCGAAAATCATATAGTGGAGACAAACGTCGAAAGTAGACCCTTTCTATATATATTAATATATTTAAGTATAAAAATATTAATTTATATAGTTCATATAGATATATAAATTTATAAATATACTATGGGGAAAACATCAAAACATAATTATCAAAATATATGTATTCAAAAACATCAAGATATAATTATCAAAATATATGTATTCAAATGATATGTATATCGTAATAATATATATTACAGTATAAATATATAATAATTTGAATATATATATATAAATTAATAAATTGAAAAAAATAGATATTAATGTATAGTAACATATTTAAATATAAAAATATTAAT